AGGCTCTGAGGGAATGAGATAACACTGCACAGACTCCAGACAGGAGGTAATGTAACAGAGTTTCAGTGACACTCCTTGTTACCACTGAGCTCTCCTGCATCTGTCTGTCTGTCTCTCTCTCTCTCTCCTAGCCAGTGAATCAGTGCATGTCAAAATACTACAAAATGCAACAAACATTATTTAATGTTTCCTGGGGTTGAGAGCAAGACTTGGGTAATAATTTTATCCAAGAGTTCACTTCCTCTGTCACAATCTCCTTAATTATAAAAGATGCCGTTTTGTATATTTCACTTCTCTTTAGAACATAATTAATAAAATATTGGGTATAGATACACCTGAAGTCAGGCTCATGCTTGACTGCATTCCTATAATAACTGCTCCTTTGTGTCATCGGGGAGGCTGTTGGGTTTCAGTTTTCACCGAAATTTGACTTGCGTAATGTTATTCCAAAATTTAATTGCGGAGCAATACAATAATAAGGAACTTAACTTAATCACCTTGAAACGAAAGCTCTGCTTGTCGGCCTTTATACAGGGTTCTTTTTAGTTTTACATTGATTTTTGGAGTTGTCAGCGTTTTAAGGGATTTCTGAAGCAGTTAGTCAGCTTTTCTGAATTTAGTAGGTTGGCATGTATGCACTTGTGTGCATTGATTTTTTTTTTGAAAGGCTAAGCAACATAACTCATTGTAATTTATCCAGTTACCCTGACAACATAACACACTGAATACCAACTCCACGCAAATAATTTTTTATTGATACAGTATCAGAACATACTTTTCATGCATTTAAAGTCATGCAAAATTGAAACCAAGAACAAATCCTTTGGCCTCCAGTCATTTAATGTAGCCTACATGCTCTACAGAATGCCTGGAACTCTTAGGTACAGAGGCTAAACAGAATTGTATACAAATTGTTTTTATAATATCAGACCAACCACCAAATTGAAAGAGATAACAGGGTGTAGAGCTGGATGAACACATCAGGCCAAGCAGCATCATAAGAGCAGGAAGGCTGACGTTTCGGGCCTAGACCCTTCATCAGTACATGCAAATAGCAAAGTAATAAGAATAATGTTTTCAAAGTCATTTTTAAAAACCAGAAATATATTCAAAAACACATACCATAATTTATAATTCTAGGAACCGATTGACACACTAACCATTCAGCATTCCTCAAATAATCAAATTTGTAACCACAGTGGAAGGCGGTATCATCTTAATTAATGTCACATCTCAGTAGCAAGAAATATCTATTACTGCAATCATATGAAGGTACTCTATCATTTGACCACTCACCTTCCCCATAAATACCTACACTTAAAAAAGACATTCCTATAGTCAGCTGTTGGCACACATTCTCAGCAAACAAAAAAAAAATTAATAAACTTAACTAATGTTCAGGCAGGTCACATTCCACTCTCATTCATTTGGTTTCTGGTACAAATAAGGATTGAAACAATTCAGATGTTTTTTAAAAAGAGAACAATGTATGAAGCAATTTTCTGTATGGGGTTGGGGGATGAAATAGATCAGAGACTTCAAATAATTAAAGATTTATTTCATAATTTTATCCAAGTAACAATTAAAGGAAGGGTGTTTGGTATTATTATTTTAAAAGCGTTGATTCAGAGTGTACCAAATTTCACAATATCCCTATTGAAAACTTCAAGAATAGACTCATGGAACCACTTGGCCAATGGCACAAAAGTAAATAAGTCTTAAATGTATTAATCTTCATTTATGATAATCACAAGCTCCATATTTAAATAGGCAAACAATAATAGATGATTTCACTAATCTTAACATTGTTAATGTATATCACAATCTAAATCTGAAAATGTTGCGTTATATGTAAAGAAAGAAAAGTTAAATAATTGGTTCAATCCAGCAAACATTCTGGCATGATTATTTATGTTTACACATCACAGCAGCATTTATGCAGCAGATAAAAATGAATGTTACTTCAAAAATCAAAGACACGATTGATGAGAATCAAAATCATCCTCTCATGGTTCACTTTTGACTGTTGTTCTACAGCCCTGCAATCAGAATGCTCTTCTCTTCACTTCACTTCTGAGTTGTCACAATTTTGGCTAAGAATTTTAGGTAACATGATATAATTCTGAATGCATTTCCCTTGTGATTAAACCTGCTGTCTTTACGATCAGTTTGCTATGAGGTGAATATAATATCGCTCTTCATAACTCCAAACAAAGTAGCAACATTACTTCTTATAGACTTGCCTAAAAAATGCTACCTTTGTGTCCAATGATGGGAAAGTTCACACCTTGATCCTAGCATTCTTTTTTGCAGTATTGGTCTTGTACAACTGATTATATAAAAACACATCCACTAATATGGCCAAAAGTAATTTGTAGGCTCAAGCACCATTTAAAATTAACCACTTTGCATTCTGCAATCAAAATGAATTTCATATGGACTGGATCTTTAGATTAAGTTTTTGAAACTCTATCATAATTCAAACAAAGAATGGTTACACTTCACAGGAATTTTCATAAAGCAAAACAAATTAATTAAGTGAATAAGAAAAAAGGACTTCTTAAATCAGAAACTTCTGTTCAACTTTATTACATGTCTTGTGGCATATACCCCTTATAATAAGCTTGGCACTTCATCTTGACAAATCTTCAAGTGAAGTGGGTACTTTTTAATCTTTCACTAAGCTTTTCTCAGGAGTGTCTAGAGATGTCATAATTAGAAAGATGTATATGAAAAATCCATGGAAATTGTTCAAGTTTCTGTGTACTTCTGTGATACTTCCAGCATTATGGAAAAAACAAAAAAATTGCTTCAGATGTATTTAAGAGTCCTTGTACTCCACTGATAAAAGATAGATCAAACTTTATTTCAAACATTCAGGAGACACAAAAATATCTCCCTTTTTTGTTTTTGAAAAGATCTGTGCAGCATGCTAGTTTCTTTTTATGCTGATTTGTGGAATATTTAATCTTTGCAAATCCAATGATTTACAGTGCTGGGTTAGAAGGAATGAGACAATGAAATATATCTGGTTCTTTTCAGTAGAATTTTACAGCATTGAAAGTAGCCACTTGGCCCAAAATCCACTGTTCTCTCCAAGTTGTTTACCCAGTTTCATTCCACTATTCCCAGTCCCTTTCAAATATATATAATACGTACTTTTTAATAATTATCTACTTTTAAAAAATTTATTCTAGATTCTGTTTTGTGCTGCTGTTTGTGGAACATTCTGTCTTGAATATTGCCAGGGCCAACTTGTGTAGGCTGGGGTTGTGGGTGAGAATGGGGTCTCAGACACTTTTCTCCATTTAAGTGAACAGAATTTTTCCCTGAATGGCACTCCACCTAGAAAATCAGATGGATTGACAAGCATACTTTTAAGTCGGAAGAGTATGACATACAGGTTAGGAACCTTCAGGCGCTATTGAAATATTGGGTATTGGGGGAAGCAGGGCACAAACTCCAATCCAAGGACTGAGGCCTGTTCTCACATCTCGGGTAAAATCTTCATAAGAGGTGGGGGAGACAGGTGGGAGGTTGGAAGGAAGAGGTCCTGCTCATCTGACCCACAAGCAGTTACTGCAAAAGACTTAACTTCTCCCTGAAACTCACTTCCTTTTAGCTGCTGGATTTCCTGAGGTCTGAAACCTGGCTGTACATAGTTAAACTACAAAGCAGGTTAAATTAGAGATTAGCAACTTCATTAAAACATTTAAATTATCAACTTTCTTCAAACCAGGAGATTGGCAACCCTCTTTCACCTTGTCTCCATTAAACCTGGAAGTGGGTGGGTACAGTTGAGTTTAACATTTAAAAATGTTAACATCTCATCAGACCTCAACACCAGCTTTCAGTGGTTAAATTTCATCCATCTGTGTCTTAAACAAAACTCCTACTGAACAGCATGCTTTTACTGATGATTTGAAATTTGTGCCCTCTGGTTAATGAATTCCCAACCCCAGAAAATACTCTAGAAACTTTAGAAAATTTCCTTAATGATCTTTTGATAATTTTTCCAAATGATTCAAAGAAAGAACACAGTGACTGTGACTCTGTAGGCTGGAAGTGGTGCTGGAATTTTGGGATATTTCTTTAATCCCTTCCTGCCTTTTCCTAAGTCAATCCTTGGTTACAAATAGCAATTTCATGGCACAATGTATTACAATTCAGGTAGTCTTGGTAATCTGGATCTTGCCACAGCGAGTTGGACTCCTTGTCGAAGCCAGTTATGTTAATTGGCTGGATTGATTGGTGCCAATAGCATAGGTTTTGATCCCTGTTCCAGTCTCCTTGCCCTAGGTATGGTTGAATTTATGCCACTGTAGGCTACACTCTCAAGTGAATCTGTGGGAAGTTCCATGAGAAGTGGAAGGGCTAAGGGTTTCAAAAAAAAGACTTTCGACTTATTTGCAATGCTTACTTTTGTTATAGATTTTGTTGGTATTTTAATTACATTAAAAACATAAATAATTTTACTTTCTCTTCATAGTGTGTAAAGTACATCTGAAACCTAAAAGAATTGATTTATCTGCTAATTCACAGGAAAAACAACTGTTAAGTGAACATTGGGCAAGACTTGAACAAAGCAGGAACAGCTAAAAAGAGAGAGAAATATGGGAAACCAAAGTCACTACAAGATATCTAACGAAAATTGTGATAGAGATTAACAAGTTGTTGTCAGATGTGAGAAGATTTGCCAGGGTGATCAACAGGCAGCAGAGCTAGATTGTCCACACATATATCAACTACTATTTCTGAAGGACCTGACAGTCCTAACTTGGAATTACCTTTAGTAATAGATCTAGAATTGTCTCCAGGTCAGGATGGAACCAGCTGGGGATCTGTGTCACCTGCTGAATGAACTTTTGCCAATTGCGGTCATTCATTTCCTACCAGAACTTTATTGTTCTGACCTTCATCTTGACTAGCATATGATTTAAGCAATATCATGTCTGTACATTTATCAATCAAAGTCTGATAAGAACCTTTCCCACTGACAGATGCCTACTGTCTCATATCACTGCACTATGTCCCCCAAAGTAAAGGAGGAATTGATTGTATTCTGCAGCCCATTTCCTGTGTCAGCAAGTTGCCATGCATCATGCAGGTAGGTTATATTACAACAATACTAAGTGTGAAGTTGAGTGTGTATCGAGGCTATCAGTTGTGATTTGCTTTGAAGCTCACACTGATTGCAGAACAAAGCATCAGGCATTGCTTTCTCCCACGGATAATTAGGCCGTTATGTAACAGCCTGTTAGGTAAGCTTATCTCAGCAGTTTCCTCAAGCTGTACTATCTTATGACGTGTCTGTGTGGCATACTGTTTTGACCTTTCTGACATTTTCTTTCAGTTATGCTGCTCTGCTCTCATCTTAGGGGAGGGGTTCCATAGAATCCCTACAGTGTGGAAACAGGCCATTTGGCCCAACAAGTCCACATTGACCCTCCAAAGAGCATCCCACCTCCCTCCCCCAAACCCTATCCCTGTAACCGTGCATTTTCCATGGCTAATCCACCTAACCTATACATCCATGGATACTATGGGCAATTTAGCATGGCCAATTCACCTAACCTGCACATTTTTGGACTGTGGGAAGAAACTGGAACACCCAGAGGAAACCCACACAAACACAAGGAGAATGTGCAAACTCCACACAGTCGCCTGAGGCTGGAATTGAACGCAGTTCCCTGGAGCTGTGAGGCAGCAGTGCTAACCACTGAGCCACCATGCCACCCTAGGGCAGTGGGCATTTAGTAAAGTGCCATAATTGGCAAATCATCTCAGATAGCACACTAAAAAAGGAGTTTTATCATTTGCCCTCAAATTTTGTTTATCTCTCCAATTTATTTTGCAATCTACATTTTTTTGCAGCTATAAATTTTAAAGGAACTACGCCTTTGTAAGAATTACAATGATTACGTGGCAGCATCCCTTTAAAAGTTACTTGCAATTTGGATGACCTGTACCAACATGCAATTTTTCATTTCCTTTTTGGCAAACTCCAGTGCTTTATTAGGGTGAGGTTTGGAAAATTGCACCTATGTTCCAAACATGGCTACAGGGAGCATTATTCAGTAATATATCAATTAGTGTCAATATCTGCAAAGCAGCTACAAATGTTATCCTGTAACTGCAGGTTTCATAATTTAGGTGCTGTGCAATTTCCAAGACCAAACTCGTCAAAAGCAGACACTGTGTCCAAGTAGTTTTGGGCACAGATGGTTATACCTTTATTACGGATGTAATTTCAATCAGGTAAAAGATTTAAGGAAAAACAGTAGAAAGTAAACCGTTCAAAAATAAGACTTGTCTGACCAATGTTCCCATTATACATTTTTTTTCTCATTGCAAAGACATACTACTAAAAAACTAAAATTTAACATAGACTTGCCTGAAGGGCTCCATGCAAATCAAGCCATTTCCACACTGGTTATCAACAGTTTTCACATTGCAGGTAATGATTCATGTTCATCATCAACAATCAAATGTTGATGTTTCAGGAAAATCTATTTCATCTCATAATCAGTCAGGATTCAGGGTTAACACTCCAACCGAGGCTGATGGTCATGAGTATCAACCCTACTCCAGAATTCATCAAGGACAGAATCTAAGCTAAGAGGCCAGTATTGAAGGAGAGCTGCTTTATTAGAGGTGGCAATTTTCAAATAACTTGTGAAAAACTAAGGCTCTGCTACTGTCAAGGTGGATGTAAAATATCCCATAGCACTATTTAAACAACTGTAGTGCATTTGTTGTAGCTGAAATTTAATCTTTGGTGAACATCATTAAAACATGGTTACTTTTATTATCTCACTGCCATCTGTGGGACCTTGCTGTTTGAAAATGGGCTATTGATTTGCCTACTGTCCAGTTAGTATATTTTAAATGTACTTAGTTAACTTAAAATTTTAAAGTCACTTATCAGCCTAGTTTCTGTCAGATTTCTAAATATATAAAAAGACATACACCTAATTAATACTTCACCTTTAATGCCGCATGCAAGTTTCAAGGTTCTGATCTATAAATGAATAGCATACTGCACTATGTGGATTATAAACATTCCTCAATTTGTAAGATACAGTTTCAGCCAGTGTGGAGTAGATTTATGATGTGGAGATGCCGGTGTTGGACTGGGGTGGACAAGGTCAGAAATCACACAACACCAGGTTATAGTCCAACATGTTTATTTGAAAACACAAGCTTTCAGAGGGTAGCTCCTTTACCTGATGAAGGCGCTATGCTCCAAAACGTGGTGTCGTGTGATTTCTGACCGAGTAGATTTATGGCTTTACCTACTGAGTATTAAGCCTGGGCAGGACGCAGAAAAATTGGGTAGGAAGGATCACACATTGGGAACATAATCTGCTTGGTTTCCCTCTATTCAATTTTCTCCTCCCTGCGTTGTCCGGGTAAGGCTCAAGACAAAAAAGATACGCATGCAAAATATGAGAGTTTGACTGATGAGTGATGAACCTATGATACTTGTGACACTAAGATTAGAAACAAGCTTTTGGCCCACTCTTCATATGTTTAGTGCATACAGGATTGTTACAACAAAGAGAATTTTTTTTTTAAGCTCATGCACTCTCTCCACCAATTTGCTGGGATTGCTACAAACTCTCTCTTCAGTCACATGATTCAATCTTCAGTGCTTAGAATAACATTTGAATGGGAAAGGATGGGAAAAATTAATAGAATGTAGCTTTGATCACAATGTGTGAGATAATACAGGTGCCCACTATGTATTCAATAACACTAATTTGTTTAGATAGTTGTTTCAGTTTTGTGCTATCGTAAAGGTGTTTAGTTTACAGCAGCAGTTTTAAGTACAAAACTTGGCAATCATGCCCTTATCTAGCAGAACTCACAAAGTCTATACAACAGCAGTTCTAACATCAAGGAAGTGAAATTAATTCCACTCTTGCCACACAAGTTTCATTCAACATTAAAGCAACACTGATTCCATTTGCCATTCATTCATGAAGTGACTGAAACTGAATGCCATTTGTAGACAAGAAGGAGGAAACTGAATAGAAGACATCAGTGCTCCCATCCTTTGTCTTTCAAACTTTGAGGCAACCTGTGAAAGATTTGCCTTGCTCCTAATAAAATGAAAGATTATCCAATGAGCTAGTTCAAACTGCAATTGCCACAATATTGGAATACAAAATATCTTTGAGTTAAAAATGTCTTATTTTTCAGTCTGCCTTGTATTGTTGTTTTGGTGCTAGAGCAACTTCAATTTCAGGAATGTCACCCTTATTCTCTTTTGGAACATATCATCACATCAACAGGTGGTAAAGACCAGCATAATATTTTTAACTTTCACCTCATTGCATTTTAAGAAAGATCTTGTGTCACAAATCAAAGAGCAGTGTTCTCCCAGTGACTGCACTACAAATAAAAACATTGTTGTGAAGAGTTTTGAGACATTCTGTGGGTATCAAGGTGATTGCTTCTTCCTAAACGAGGGACACATTCATACAACAAAAACTTGCATTTATATCTCCTCATTAGCAAAGTAAACAATCTCAAAATCTTCCACCAAGGTGGAATCAAAAATGAATACCAATTCAATGAAGGAGACAGAAGGTGATCAAAGATTTGTTAGAAGAGATAGGCTTTAAGGATGCTCTTAAAAGAGGAGATTGAGATGAGAAGGTGGAGGTTTAGAATGTGAATTTCAGGGTGAGGGCCCTAGGTTATTAATGAGCTGTCCCCTCTGAAGTGGTCAAGAGGTGGAGGGTTGCACAAATGGTCAGAATGGAAGAGTTAAAAGCTTGGGGTTTACAATACTGAATGTGGATAAAAGTGATAAGGAGGGCAAAGCTTTGAGGGAAATATTCTTTAAGTAGATTTAATATCAATTTTGAATTGGTTAATTGGAATTAATCAGACTGTTTTTGTGTAGTACATGAATGCTGATGGCTATATGAAGATGGCATTTTCTTCTCCCTGGACGTGGCTAGAAGGGCAAATAATTGGGTGACATCCCATTCTAGACACCTCAGCAATTAACTGCTGGAAGAGAAAGTCCATTGGGGACTTCTTAATAATTTCTAATGAACCTGTTCTGGGACATTATTACACACCTCTGGAGAAGGTGGGACTTGAACTCAGGCCTCATGTCTCAGAGGTAGGAACACTACCACTGCACCAAAGGATGTAATTCTTTTTTTCCTGTGCGAATAGACTTTGTTATAGATATTTTTCCACCACCAGATGAACACCCATGTGGCCAATCGTGTATTAACAAGCAAAGCCTTTTAAGGGCAATGCTGACATCAAAAAAGAAGTGAGGGAGGATAGGCAAAGAAAGGGAGGGGGGTAAATCAAAATGGAGATAGATGGGGAAATAAAGCATTCCACCCCGACAGTGCCTACCTCTCTCTAAAGGCTTCAAGAGCATTGGTAGACACTATGTATTCCCTATCCAATGACACCCAGGCCTGAACATAATCACAGAAGATGGGCAGGCAATCAGCAAAGATGACACCCTCTACAGCTCACTGCCTGGACTTGAAGAGCCCTATTCTGTTTTTTAATTAGCCTATTTTTCTATCAACCTGTTCAGAAACGTTATTGCACACCTCTGGAGCAGATGGGGTTTGAACCAGTCCAGGAGCTGTACCTCTGCACCTCCCTTCATGTACCCTATCATTGACTCACCAGAGATTAAGACCTTTAAGTGGTAAATTAGTTGGTACTTAAGGGCCTCAAGTTACCACTGATCTGCTTGCCTACATTTCTGGAGGAGGGGAAAAGTGTCTGGTTCCCACCTAAGAAATAGGTAACCAGCCTGTCGGTTGGGGAAGGGCTTCCATTTATCTCAATCTGGAGCCAACTGGGGGCAGGACATAGCTGCTGAAAGCCAGGTCTTTGCCCTTGCCTTCGATCTTCCGGTTCCTTTCTCCCAGTGACATCAACCAATAAAAAGCAAAAGAAATATACGCCTTCTTTCTGTTGGATCACCTGAAGAATAGGCATCACTGTGGATCTTTAGAAATCAGCAAGCTGGCAGCTTCTAGCAAAGGAGGCCTCTGCAAATAAAACCTGTGATTGGCCGAGAAGTTCTGCAGTGGGAACACAAGTACACTCATCGCGACCAAGGTCTGCAAGTATCTTAGAGTCAGGATTAATGACATTGAATTTAAAATGCCGTTTTGCCATTTGCAGAAATGAATTAAATCATTGCAAGTTTAATCACATTATGATAAAAGTAGTTTTAGAGATAGCGCTACTGAAGAATCATACAGCAAGCTACAAATATGACAAACTTTAATGCCAACAGGAAACAATCAGAAATAACATATCACAAAATCTTGGGCATATTAAATCTTAAGAAGGGCCTTGCAATGTGTGAATCAGCCACTGTGAAAATGGATTGTTGACTTGACCTCTAGCAGAAAAGCCCTAAATACAGTGCTAGTACAATTTATAAATACGTTTTCACTGGTTGTAATTTTAAAAAAAATTCATTAATAGGATGAGGGCATCGCTGGCTCGTCAGCATTATTGCCCATCCCAAATTGCCCAGAGGGCAGTTCGGAGTCTACCACATTGATGTGGGTCTAGAATTACATGTAGGCCAGACCAAGCAAGGATGGCAGTTTCCTTCCCTAAAGGACATTAGTGAACCAGATGGTTTTTTCCTGACATTTGACAATGGATTTATGGTCATCATTTATATTCTGAATTCCAGATATTTTGTTGAATTCAAATTCCACTATCTGCCATGGCAGGATTCAAATCCAGGTCCCCAGAACATTATCTGGGTCTTTGAATTTTCAGTCTAGCAATAATACCACTAAGCCATTGCCTCCCCTCTGCTCACATGAGGCTACAGAGTTCTTGCCTTTTAAGAATGTTTCCTAAATAGCGTTTGTACATGGTTAAAAGTGATAGTTAAAAAATTAGACAATTACCCAGCCTCTGAATTTAAAGGACACAGTAAAAAAAGTTTGTTCAAATTGCCCCTTTCCTCAGCAGCTCTGTCATGGGGTGGTCAGCCAATTGAGTTAGCAGTTTTCCAGGAGAACTGTCACTTAAACTATAATGGTGTCTGATTGTCTTCTAAGTGACATCCTCCTGTGCTGAGTTGTATTCACACAGACAAATGCATTAAATACCTAGTGCATATTTAACTTGCAGCGCCTCAATGTTATTACTCCTGAAGCTAAGGTTTCTTCATGTCCAACAGCTCTGATTGATATATTTTCTGATCCAAAATCGCCAAAGTTGCATCCTGGCTGGTAGCTCCCCAAACTTCTAATCTCTGTATCCTCACCATCCTGCTCTTTCTGCCAACTAGTCCACATTTCTTCCCATTCTTGCTTCTCTTCAACTGCTGCTTATCAATTTAGGCATGTGCCATCTGTTCCTGTCTTAAATTCTGGTTCTTGTCACTTCCATCTCAGGAATTTGGCACCAAAGTCCAGCTACCTGCTTGCTCCAGCACCTGTCTCAGCCTCTAATACTGAGGATTATCCTACGTCCCAGTTTTCCAGACCTACAGCACTATTCCTTGATAATTTGCTTGTATTCTTTCATTTGCTACTTTCTTTGCAAACATTGGTATTCTGTTTTGGATCACTCGCCTAACTGTTCAATTCCTTTTTAAAAGGACCTCAAGTTCTAGTTCAAGTAGAATAAAAAGGCTGTTTCCCATTTATTACTAAGAATAGATTTAAGTTTTGGGATAAGAAAAGAAGAAAAAGCAAGCTAGCACAAGGGAAAAACAGGACAAAGTTGAAATGTGAAGAGAAGTAGTGGTCACAAGCAGAAACATAGAAAGATCATTAGGAGACATGATAGACCAAAAAAGAGAAGCAAGAACAGAAACTGGAGCAAGTCTTCATGGAGGAGCTTCATGGTGAGGAAGTTGTTTATGGGAAGGAAATATATAATAAATCACTCTGTTGTTATAGTACACTTTCAGGGAGAGATGGGGAGAAAGGAAAGAGAATTAAAGAGGCAAGACAGCTGCAAGGTGACAATACTGGTCATAGGAAGAATCAATGCTCAGATATAATGGATATTGCAAGGTTAAGGACACAATTCCATACAGCTGATTTTGGTGTTGAGTGATGCGGAAGATGTGACAATGTAATGAGTATATCTAATGCAGGTGAAGGGAGAGGGGTTTCTAACCAATAGAGACACATGGGAATTGAAATCTGTAAAACAGGTGACAGTGAATCAGCAGTCTACACTTTGTTCTGTATTAGGTTTCATTGAAATTTCTATTTTCTATTACTTGATTGAAATGTATGTTTAGTTGAGTGTAAAGTAAGGCTGATGATTGCTGTACTTTAGTACTTAAGATCTATCACACCTGTAGTGGAACAGTAATCACTGGATGACCAGAAGGAAATATTCAATTCCAATGCAGTCAAAGAAATCCAACTCTTTCAGTTTCTTCAGAATTAACCTATTACCTCCCATTTGAAAGAAGATAAGAATGAATAGTGATGAAATAGAAGGTAACAAATCAGCAGTCATAGCAGATTTAGTGAGAGAGACAAGAAAATTTAAAGAAACAACAATTCAATGACAACAGAAAAGTAAATGAAACTTTACTTGATACAGCAGTGGCATAAAGATTGATTAGTACAAATTAGAAGATTTTTTTTTAATCCTGTGCATCCTTGTGTGACTTTGGAGCCAAATTATTATTTCAGAGTTTAATGTGCACCAAGGTCCTAATAACAACGCCTCCTTCTCGTACAGATATATGGCAGGTTATCTCCCAGCGCAGCCCACTCTTGAATATTTGTTATTTGCACTGCTGTTTCCTTTTATCTGGCCCAAAGCTTTCTGTAAAAATTCTCTTTGTCAATCTATTAGAGCTGTGGGTTAAGGCTAAGGAATTTAACTTTGCTGCTTTTTGGAAAAAAAAATCTTGCTAAACTGACAAAAGAGATATTTCGCACAGCAGAATGTCCATTTTCTGTTTAATGGTTTTGAGCTTGCCACCTTTATTCATTTCAATGTCTGCAAACAAATGGAATGGACTAGATGAAAGAAAGAGAAAGAACCCTAGAGAGAGATGGGAGAGACAAACTCTCTTGGCTAGAAGGAGGTTTCTTTGGGGTGGACAGGATGGAGGAATACAAGTGTGTTGTTAGGCAAGAGATGTGAAAAGAAAACCCATTAGGGGTGAGAAAATATCTATTCCAAGGGAAAGAATGAGCTGGCTGCTTATATTTAACTTGCTTTGCAGGTATAATCTTGACTGGAAACATGGGAGCCCAAAGGAGCTTAGGAGAAGATAAGAGAAGATAAGTGTCAATACAGCACTACCTGTACTGCTGATCCATGCTTATTTTGTTCCCCTGGATTGGAAACCTTCCTCTGCTCCCCCAGTTCCCATCACAACACACCAATTCAGAAGCTGCTTCCTAATTGATCAGGGATTGGAACACCTCTCCCATACAGGCTCTCCACTAGCAGTAGTGATCTGCTACTGTGGTGTATTTGCCAGGGTGGAAACCAAGCCTGCCATTTAGGCTGACTTTGGTGCGAGGGTCTTAGGAAAAAATGCACACCAAAGCATCATGATGTCCCATTCCACCTCACCCCAGCACCACCTACTGAATAATCCCTTGTGAAGATTAGAATCAAAGATATAATATTAATTTTGGCTATAAGCAATACCAGAGGAGATTGGCCAGTTTATATTTAAATAAGTATAATATTATAATGAAAAGTTTAGCATATAAAAAGGGAATAACTCACTGCGAGATGTCACTGTCAGAAAATTAAAAATAACAAATAATAAAAATATCTCAATTACCTTAGTTGTTCAAAAAAAAGTTACTTGACACTCAGAATGTGAACAAATTATCTGTAATTGGGATTTTCATTTTGATTTAACTATAGCCAACCCACTCAGTGAAACCCAAGGTAGCTCCAAATTTTAAAAAAAATGACAAATCAAACAGGATAAAATGTGAAATATTTTACAGGAACCAGAAACAGAAACAATTAAGGTGCAATTCTTTTCACTCTTCCCTGATCAAAATGGCTATGTTTGAATAAGTTTAACTTCTGATAAGATAAATTCTCAAATCTTAAAACATTACAACTTTGGATGCAATTGGTGATCTGGCCACAAATCGCATCTAAATATGCCATGCATTTTGAAAAATGTTTCCTTTGAACTCCTGCTCACTTGCATATCTGCCATAAAGCATCTCAATTAGGCAGCATTTTAAAAAGGAACACCATTTGCTAGTTTTGATGCGACACGTTAGATTTTTTCTCACCAGTGTCCTTGCACCTAAAAGAACTAATTGGCTTTATATTTATGGCCTCCGTGGCTTGTAAACCTTGCAATTAGCAGAAGCTCCCACTGATGATTAGATCACCAAGAGGAGGACATAGCCAGTTCTGTAGGTCGGGCTGACGTCTGCCACTGTTTTTCAAAAGTCGCATAAAAGGTCATAAAACTTGTTTTTTGTGAACATAATTTGCACGTAACATTTCTTGTTCTTTTATACAGCTCTGTCAAGTTTGGGCAAATCGCATCAACTGAATCAGCCCAAGTGACCGGAATTTCAACATTATAAGCTTTAAGAAGCATGCAATTGATTTGTCACATTGCTATTTCGTAACCAAGCTTATTTTAAAGTTGAAGACAATTTCTAAAGCATAAATATGGAATCATGTACTGCTGACAGAATAGTGCCCAATCAGCCCCACACTGCAAACAGGTTGTTTTTGCCCCTTCACCTCCAAAAACAATATAAATGGGGACGGCTGTGGCATAACTGTCATTATCAAATGTATCCCTACTCAGATTTTTGCTTGTTAAGCGACAACTTAAAAAATTTTAAACAAGAAAATTGAACTATGACATTGTTAGTAGTTGCCTAGTTTAACACATCCACGTACAAATGCAAATGGTATGTGGCAAAAACACAGAGTATCAGTGTGATTACACCACAATTTAAAGTCACTAACACAAAAGACAGGACTAAGCCATTTAAAACAGTAATTATAGACGTAAACTTAAAGGATAGCTGCTTAATGCAGGTGGAGATTTTATCTGTTCAATAGGAAACCTGCTGGTTTAGAGAAATATTAGCTATCAAATCCGGATCAGCAGAATAGTATTCATTGAGCTTAACTCTGTAAACTTTCCAGTTATGTGCAATGTGTTTTGTTAGTATTGAGTGTGCCTGATAAAGCATTGTGAGAAGCTACTGTAATTGGCTGTGGAAAAAGTGTATTCCCACAATATCCTGCAGCCCACCCAGCAACTCAGGTTGTACAAAACACTCACAATATTAGTTAAATTATTTGAAACTTAATTAAAACAAAATAAAACAAGAATGAAAAGACTTAAAAGGCAGCTGTTGGATCTTTTTGTTGGAAGAGATAGCTGCTGTCCATGTTCTCCTTTTAAATAGGATTTCCTCCAGGCTTTCTTTTGATGGTCCCTGAGCATCTCAAACATTAATGGCATGAGCATGCTTCTTGCAGAGTGGCTTGTCCTTTTTGGAATAAAATGGCTGACCTTCTAGATTTACGTGGCACACCTGAAGAAAAGTGAAATTATAACAACTTTAAAGATCGGACACTGGTGTCAAACTGTAACCAACACACCTCACCTTACAACTTGCTTTTTCTGACTATCTTTGTCACAGTACAAAGGTGGATTTAAAAATAAGCAGAATCATGGTAAACACCATGCCAGCACCAACAGAGCTTTCTTTCCTTCAGTTCTTCCCATGGTTGGCATCATGTCTCTCCGAGATGAAAGATTTGGATCTTGATTCCAGGCCTGTGCCAGTGGTATGTATTCTTTAATGTAATGAAGGTCAGGGAATGTAGAAAGCTATTAAGGTTGGCCTTTCATTCAATCACCCTTCAGTCATCATGGAGAATAATTTTGCTGTCAACAAATCCCATACATGACCCTGGTGCATTGTGGCGCCATGCCTGTGTAAACCTTCTGTATGATTCCATCTTGCCAGTTAATGTAAAGCAGAGCGCTGACTGTCACAAACCAACATCCAATTACTTTCCTGAGATGATTATGCAACAAATATAGGAAATTTGTTCTGTTTATGCACATGCTTGAAAGATAAAGTAACCAAAGCTTAAAGTAACCATTCTCCTCCTTTAAATTTAATTTTAAATTTACCAATCTATAGGTCTCATCTAAAGGACAAATTGATTATATGTTTCACTTTGTAGCGTAATGGGAATATCAGCAATATTATGACTAAATTTTCCTAAACATTCCAATGCCATCTCAAAAAGACGAGCAGCCTCTTCGAGGAACCTATTGCTTCATACGTACAGCACAGACGAAGCAGGTGTCATGCCAGGTATAACCCAATGCTTCAATGAATTTATCGCCAGCCTCCACAGGGAAATCACAGCCATGGCACTTAGTGCTAAAGAGGGCAATGTAATCTGGAAAAAAAAAAGAATCATTCACTTTATCAGTGAGAAGAAATAGTAAAGACAGAAAATCAAACATGAGACTAACTATAAAATTAAGTAAGTCAAAAAAAATGGTGTGCCTCAGTCAGGTAATCTGACAAGAGAGTGATGTACTTATCATGCCAGTTTCCAGCTGAGCGAGTACAGTGGTCTGGTCTCATACGTTTGCCTAGGGTTTCTTGTAATTCGGATGAGAAGGATGATCAAGAGTGGCTTTTGTGGTGACTCTTCCTGTATTTGTAAAAAATTCTTTATTGTGGGAAATGCCAGTCATCTCCTTGCCCACATGACTCAAAGGACAGCCTGGACTGTGACATATCAGGTGGTGAACCCCAAGTGCCAAATAGTTTGTCCAAACCAAATGTAGTATGTACCCACACA